CCCCAAAACCCCAAAACCCCAAAACCCCAAAACCCCGGTAGTTAAAATTTAGGTTGAGAAGGGTATTTTAGATGAGTTTTTAGAAATTAGGGGGTTTTGGAGTTAGATGGCTCCGGAGAGGGATTTGGGCCTTTGGAGATGTGTTAGAATTGAGTTTTGGAGTAGGGTGGGATCAGATGGTTTTGGGTCATCGATGACATCTTGGAGGGGTGATGGGTTCAGATTATCAGGTAGCATATTTAAATCAGCTTCGTCGACTTCTGGCAAGGTTAACTCATTGCTTATCTCAATTTTGTTGACCTTCTCCACAGCCATGATGGGTCGTAGTACCATACTTTCTACACCTCGAGAGTTGTTTTCTTGAGCTTCCCTCAGTTCTTCTTTAGGCATGACGTCTTGAAGATAGTCATAAATATCATCAGAGGCAATTGTCTGAGCAAGATCTGATCTCTGAATCACCTTTCTCTTTGCTCTCTTTGTATGAAAATAAGACCTGTGTGTTATCTCTGTAATGAACATTTCACAAGCTTTGGATAAGAGCACTGGTACCTCAGCTGATATCATCTGTATATCCTCCTCTTCCTTCATGATCTTCTTAATCTTAGTCAGTGGAAACTTCTGTGGTTTAAAACTTTTGGGAGACTATAAGAAATTTGTCATAAATTCAAGCCAAATTTGGTCGAATCAGCTGAAATAACTCTTAATTTTATTAAGATCTATTAAAAATAACGAAACACAATTTTTCAAAAATAAATGGAAATAGCCTGAATTTTGAATTTATGAGTGAAATTACCTTCTTCATCTGCCTGATTCGTGAGGCCATTTCTTCAAAAATAGGATCAAGTCGTGAAACATATTCTTGGTATTGATGGGTTTTAGCCTAGACTCGGGTTAAAAACGCTTTAGTAGTGCTTACGATATTATTTTGTAAAACTGGCTGAGACATTTAATTTATTAGATTAATTCACAAAAATATTTTTGAATCAATATTAGCCAATAAGAAGGGGTTTTGGGGTTTTGGGGTTTTGGGGTTTTGGGG